TTTCGTCGCCGCCGCCGCTAGGCTCGAGCGGCCGCCTCCTTGTCACCATGAACCCCGGAGCCGCGCCCGGGAGAGCCGCACAAGGGGAGGCGGAGCGGGAGGCCCGGCGCCGCTGGAAGCTGGAGCGGGCGGGCGAGGGGGGAAGGAGCGAGCGAGGAGCGAGGGCGGGAGGGCGGGAGAGAGGGAGGGAGGGAGGAAGGGAGGAAAGAAGGAAGGCGGGCGGGTGGGTGTGTCCCGGCCCGGGGACCGGCCTCCGCCGCGGGCCCTGCCCGCTCGCCCGGGGGGGAGAGGGGTGCGGGGCCGAGACGGAGGTGGTGAGTGGAGTGCGGGAGGGGCTGTCCGCACGGCGGGGGCGGGGGCTTGAGCAGTGGATCGGGATGAAGGCTGGAGGTGTAGGGACGGTCACGGATTCTGTTGGTAGTTGTGAGGGGTGTCCGGGGGCGCCTGGGAAAATAATTGGGGTGAGAGGCCTGGGTGTGAGGGATGTGGGGAGGAGTCTAGGGCAGATGGGTAGGGGAGGCGCTTGAGGGGATAAGCAGGGACCCGCAGGTGTAGGGGTAGGATTCGGAGGGGTGTGCGGGGTGGGGGAGGCCAGGGGCCAAGGAGGGATCGCATGGAGGCAGGACTGAGGCGATCTGATGTTTACCGCGAGGAGGCAGGAGAAGGGACAGACCTGTGGGATAGGGCGGAATGAGTGCTGCGAGGGTGTCTTGGGGAAGGTGCTGGGTCAGGGGTATCCCGGCGCCGGAACCGAGGAGTCTGGTCCGTGGGTGCCTAGGACAGCGGTGCGCGGGGGTGGGAGCTGCTAAGGAGTGGTCCTTACACCGAGGCGGCCCGTGGAGGGGTACGGCGGCTCGCTGGAGTGAAGAGCCCGAGAGTGTAGTTAGGTTCGGAGGGATCTAGGGGTGCGCGGGCGCGGCGGAGGGAGTTCTCCTTTGAGGGGTTTAGCGGTGACCGGGAGGAGTGATTTGTTCAAAAAGAGTCTGAGGACTGGGTCAGGCTCGAGGGCGTGCGGTTGCCCACACGACATGCATCAGCATTGGGCCCCAGAGCACGCGTGCTGGCAGCGGATCCCCAAAGACCAACCAACTGGCGCGTGAGGGTGTCGACGCCAAGGGGAGCCGGGGCAGTGGGCATTTCCGGGTGCTCTGCCGCAAGGGTTCCGGGGGTCCTCTGAGGAGAGAGGAGTGGAAGAGGCCAGTGGCGGGCAGAGCTGGACAGGACTGTTTGTGCAAGGCAGCCGGCTACTGTCAGGCCTGAGGCTACAGCTGGAGCTTGGGCGAGACGGGAAAGTGCCCCCTCTGCCTCAGATTCGGAGCCTTTTGCCGCCGGCGCCCTCCGGTTCCAACTTGCAGGCCACTCTCTCAGCCCAGTAAGCCGGGGTGGCGGGGCAGTGCCTCGGGGGGCGGGCCATGGGGGCGGGGCGGGAGCGCTCGCGCGCACTCTCCACCAATCAGGAGGGTCTTGGAGGGCCTGCGGCGCTAGGCGTAGGTGGAAAGGGCTGGGTGGGCGGCCAGCAATGAAGTGTGCGTTGCCGCCGCCCGCCAGGCTGCGCGCGCACTTTGGGCTTTGCGGGCACGTCCAGCCCCACCATGGCTTTCTGAAGACTAGGCTAATAGGACTTTTCTCACTTCCAGCATTCTCTGGAACTGGAAGCTGGATGCAGTCAGGTCTCCTGCCTCCCCAAAGCCTCCTCAGAGTTTTAAAGAACACTGTAGCGCCTCCGGAGGGTTCAGCCTTCAGTCCCTGCTGGTCTCGGTACCTGGCGAAGCCCCATGAGTGTCCAAGAGAGGGAGATAGGTCTGGAACAGGGCTCCTGTGGCCGAGGCAGGTGGGAAAGCCCTTCAGGAGAGCTGCAGTCAAAGGTAGTTATTAGGCAAGAGGTGGGCATTTTGCCCCCATATCAAAGACCTAGAGTGGATCTGCGTGTGGGTGGGACCTAGTGCCAGTTGCCCTTGGGGTGTACTCGTGAGTTAATAGCCGCTTTTCTGGGGGCAGCTTTGAGACCTTAGTGAGTCCCCTGAGGCTGAAGGTTGAAGTGAAGTGCCATTTTGGTTAGGAAGGCAATCCCTCCAGTAAGTAACCCAGGCTCCAGGGCATGCCCTCCCTAACTCTCCCAAGTAGTGACCAGATTAGAACCCCATGGCACCCAGGACTCCCTTGTTCCAACTTCTAATGCGCTTCACATTTGTTACGAAGGTATGGATGGTCTAGGTCCTGGTGAACTCAATGCTCTCTGAATTCAGTTGAAAAAAGCCACTGAATTCTAATGGGTCAGAGAAGGATCTTTCAGAGATGGCTGTGCAGGCTATCTGGGGATATGGTTCACCTAGAGTTTTTAGTATACAATCACAGAGGTCAGCATCTTTGTTGCCTGGTTGATGAAGCATCCCAGATAGCCCAGCAGCAAAGACAAGGTGATGAGAGCGTTTTGACTCACTGATACACATGCTTAGGGGCTGGAGCCCTTTTGAGAGTATGGGGGATACTGCCAGACATTCTGTTTACAGAATGTCTGTGAATGCTCAAGAAAGCAGTCTGTTATCTTTTATGTCCTTGTCCCACTATATGTTGTTCATTTAAATGTTCAATTTATTGTCTATTTCATAATATTAATAGAAATCAAAGAAAAATATCATCATTGGCCCTACCACCATTCTTAAACCAATCTCTAATTTCTTTCATTTCTCCCTGCCTTTGCCTATATGCTGACGTAATTTTTATGTAGCTGTTAAAAATGTTTAAAATTATAAGGTTAACATTTTTGCATGCGATGACATAATCACTGCAACTAGCATTATAAATGATTGCATAATACCCACTGAAAAAGTCTTAGATAACACAGTATCTTCGTTTTACAGATAAAAGAAAGATTAAAGAATTGTTGTTGGGACAACTGATTAGCTGTGAGAAGAAAATATATCTTTAACCTCAGTCCTCATAGCATATTCAAGATAGATCAAACAAATATTAAAATTTAACAAATAAGTAAATATACTAGAACAAACATGCATAAGTGTTTTTTGATTGTGGATGCAAAAGGACTAAGAGGCACAGAAACTCCAGAAATTACAAAGGATAAGATTGATAAATTTGGCTATATTTGTTCATTCAACAAATCTTTAACAAGTGCCTTTAATGTGTAATGGTCTGTTCTGGACACTGGGGAACTCAGAGTTGTCCAAACTGGGGATTAGGGAGTGGAGCTATCATACTCTCACACAAGTTAGTCATAGCTAAGGGCTGTCCTGGGAGTCTTTAAGCCTTAAGACAAATGGGAAATAAAGGAAAGACCATGACCCTAGAAAATGCTGTGAAAAATTGGGGAACAGAGATTAAGATGCCAAGGGTAGGGAGACCTGATACTGGGAAGCACAACCACAAGGAGCCAACAACAGGAAAAGAAAGGAAGATGGAAGGAACTGGTAAGGGCAGCCTAGGCTGGAGTATCTGGTAGAGCTCTAATGTGGAAGGGGACACTTAGATTCAAAGGTGGGGGATGGGGCAAGACTGCACTGGGGATATTGATGGGGGGTGAGGCTGAGAGGCTGCCCCTGAGGAAGGAACACTGGACATTGAGATCAAAGTGAGATGGTGATTTGAGGAAAAGAGACCTGGGAGGGGCAGTATAGAGTGGGTGTTCCAGGTAGAAGGAGCAGAGCATGTTCCCAGGCTTAGAAGTGAGGAAGAGCATGCTCTGGAAAAAGTCTGCAAAGGCTGGAGTTTAGAGCTCTGGTGTTGAGCAGAGCTCAGATCAAGCAAAGCCTTAGGAACTAGCAAAGGCATTTGGGCTTTATTTTGGGTACTGTGGGAATGACATAATCAGATACATGTTTAGAAAATTCCTGCTGACTAACAGATTGGATCTGAGGCAGTATAAGAGGCAAGGAAACCCAGAAAAGATGTTGCATTCATAAAGAAAGGAGATGATGGTAGTTGTGGGAATGGAGAGGGCCAGAGAGATTCCAGATACATTTTGGAAGGAGGCTGCACAAGTCTTGCCTATTGGTTGAGCTGGAGGAGTGAGGGGTGAACAAAGAGGAAATGACCTCCCATGTTTCTAGCTTGGGGGCCTAGGCAGAGTAGTGGGCTCTCAGATCCTCTCTGGACCCATCATTCCCTATCATGCCCCTGTCCTGCCCTCCATCTTTGAATCTCCCGCTCCAGGTTCTATTTCTTGATCTGCTCTATCTCTTCATTTGTACACATCTTAGTCTCAAGTTTGTTGTGTGTCTGTTATTTAGACTCTGTCTCTTGGTCTCTGTCTTATTCAGACTCTAGCTTCATGTGTCTGCGGCTCAGTGTTCCTGGCTCCTTTCAGGAGCTGGGCCTGAGGGTGTCAGTTCTCCTGTTAAAAGAGGAGTGGAAATAGGATCTAGGCAGAGATTCCTGGTGATTAGTCAAGTGAACACAAACCTGAGCCTGCCCACAGGTCTCGTTCTTGGGGTCACCTTGGGACCCGAATGAATTTCCTCAAGGCAGCAGCCCTTCTGTCATACTGGAACCGGGCCCAGAACCTGAAATCAGCTCTCTGCCTGTGCTAGCCTAGGCTGGCCATGCCACGCCTACACCAGGTATGTATTAGGTGCCTTCAGTATGGGAGGCCTGGGCCAAATGCAGTAGACAAAGTACCCTAAAGGGCTCACGGCCTACTGGAGAAGGCGGAGGAATAATCAGAGGGTGGCACAGAGTAGAACTAATTTATTCCGGCAGTCCAGGGAGTCCCCACAGAGGAGATGATGCTAACAAAGTCCTTTTCAGAGCCCTCAGCTCCCTGGGTGAGAGGACTTTTCCATCCACAGTGTCCA